AGTCGCAGAAAACCACAGTGCCAAGGCCCTAGTGTTACGCCATTTAATGTACTGCCACTGTGTGTTTACAGTAGATCCTTTTCTAATTGTTCGATGTGTGTAGTCGGGTCCGTCCATACTTATTTTTCCCGTGGGTTGGTTCCCAAAAGGGAACCATTGAAAAAACTTAATTTTACTTCTGTAGTAATGTCCAGCAAATGCTAACCTCCCTGCCCTCAAAGTTCTTGATATACAGGGGGAAATATCTCCATACATAATATGTTGTTTATAGTTGATATTCAAGGCGTGTCAGTATTCTTGTACAACGACCATTAAGTCCTATCTCTCCAGAATATGTTCATTTATCTTTTTATAGAAATTCCGTAAGAAGCAACCGTATATACTCGCGTAGGTCCTATAAGGTGACCCGCGTATAAGACGACCCCCGAGTTTTAGAAGATTTTTGGTTCATATTTGTATGTCGGGCATATAAGACGACCCCAGTTTCATGGTCGGAATTCCTAATTTTTTGTGGTCCTGATACCGCATCTAGCTTAATAAATAGAGTCAAAATCAAGGGTAATCTTCCAAATAATACCATTTTATGAGTTTTAAAATCTTCCCCAGCAAAGCCGTATTTTCCCGTATTTAAAATTGCGTTTATTCATGAAACATTTAGTTTCACTTGTACTTACAGCGAGAGCATAAGTGGGCGGGTCAAGGTCGCCCAAAGCATTGGCGGAAGGCATTCAGGGGTGAAGGCCCCGGAGGCTCAACAACCTGAAAGGAATATTTTTGCCATTTTGTAGGTAAACTAAAATTATAAAGAATATATGTCATCATTTTATGGGTGTGCGCTAAAAACTCCTTCTTAGTGTTCAATTTTCAAATTTTCAGGTAGTGCTTTATTAATATGTTTCCACCGAGGAGTTAATCAATTTCTTCAATGGGACATCACGGTTACTTAACCAAGAGATTGATTTCATATTTTTCTCTCTTTTTTCTGTGTAATTTCATGTGGGATTCTAAGTAATTTAGTGATTTTACTCATTATCATTTATATTAAACTCTATCTGGTACATCAATAGAAATCTCAATATTGTAAAAATAAAGGAATATTTTTTTATTATTGGTAGCACATAAACCATTAAGCATATGTTCTGTTGTTTCAATTATACATACAGATCAAAGAATCACTATTGTAACCAAAATGAAAGATTGGATATGATTGAGGACAATGAGAAAGTTTATTACAATTCAGAAAAATTTTTGCATAAGCTAGTTTGAGGAAGTCTTAAAAGTGGTGCTGTCAGTTTTTTTTTCTATTGATCTATAGCAGACTAACGCAGCTACACTTTTTATTCATCTTTATTCCTACAGTTACTCGCTAAGTAAATTAAACTGAAAATATAAGGAAGCTATATATCTATAAATGAATGTAGGCCTATTTGCATTCAAAGTTATTGTTACAAATTAATTTGACACTCTTATTAACAGGACAATTTTTTTAGTCCCCAGGTGTTATGGGGTTCTTAAATACCTCCATGCTGGAACAGACAACGACAACGACGACTATGATGATGATGAATATGATGATGATGACGACGACTATGATGATGACGACGACTATGATGATGATGACGATGATATTTTCTTAAATATATGCGCTATAGAAAAACGGAATTATTATTATTATGATAGTGATCATGGTGATAAGAATAATGACGATGATGATGATGATGATGATTAAGATATTGACTTCCAAGTGGCACTTAGAGCTTGATCACGTTAGACAGGCTTCTCTTTCCCTTGGAGAACTTAACATTCTATCCACTAACTCGGTCCGTAATCTTGGTGTAACATTTGATTCCACGCTGTCACTGTCTAATCGAGTTCAGTCAGTTTGTAAATCGACCGAATACCATATGCGTAACTTATGTAGGACTTTAACGACTATGACACCTGTCATGCAGCAGTTCGTGCACTTGTTTTATCTAGAATTGATTACTGCAACTCATTGTACTGAGTTGACTGTAACAGATTCTCTAAAATTACAGAAAGTTGCAGAATTCTGCTGCACGTCTAATTGTTAACATCCCATCCTCTCATACTCACACACATCTTCTCCGTGAATTTTACTGGCTGCCTTTTAGGCAAATGGTTTATTTCAAATTAATGGTCCTTACATTCAAGTCACTGTCTGGCCTATGCCCACAATATCTCTGATTTTTTACTTGTACGTATAAAGCAAATTCGTACCAGATCAGCTTTGAATGAATTTCCATCAACCTATCTTTAACAAATTTTCGGGTAACAAATCTTTTCTGTGCGAGGCGCCACTTATCTGGAATAACCTTCCAGTGCAAATTCGATCTTCACCATCTGTGACTGTCTTTAGGTCTAACCAAAGACTCACCTCTTTAACTAATTATCCGATTTTTATTCTTATTTTATTTATTGTTACATTATTTATTTTTGATTCTAAACTTTTCCACTGCTTCTTTTGATTTGTTTACTTGTTCTGTGCATGGGTTAGGCAATGATTCCGGCTTGTGGGTTGTAAGGTGCCTAAATATGTGGGGTGCAGCGCTTCGTATCTGCAAAGAAAGGCGCTTTACAAATGTTCAGATTGGATTGGATTGGTGATGTCGGTGATGATGATGATGATTAGGGCGATTATGATGATGATGATGATGATGATGATGGGGATGATGATGATGATGATTCATGATGGTAATGATGGTCATGGTGGTGGTGATGATAATAATAATGATGACGACGACAATGATGATAATATAAAAATGGTGTTGTTGATGACTAATATGATGGTAATAATGATGAAGGCGATGATCATTTTAATGAATAATCGTGTTTGGTCGTCGGGATTTAAAAATAATAATAATTATATATAATAAAAATACTCCAACTCTATCATTATTCACGTCATATTTTACACATTTCACGACAAAGACGACTATGATGATGAATACTATAAAGATAACAGTGATACTTTTCATATGCGCCACATAAAAACGGACTTATTATAATTATCATGATAATGAGAATGATGACGACAATGAATAAGATTAAGATGTTTTTGATAGTGATGATGATGATAATATGATATGATGAGGCGAAGATGATGACGATGATGACGATGGTGATGATGATGATAATGATGATGATAACAATGAGATAATATGATGATGTTGAGTTGATAACGACGATGATGATGGTGATGGTGATGATGATGAAGATGATAATCATTTTAATGAATTATACTATCTAAGATTCGTGGTTAAAACAATAATAATATAAGTACATACAATTCTCTAATTCTATTTTGAATTTATTGCAAACACCTATTGATATAACATTGTACACTATGACCATCAAACGTTATTAACGTCACATTTAAGTATAATATGGCAATGATGTAATAACCAAGTTTTTTTGACAATTTTAATAGTTGAATTGTACTTTAAATAGAAATTTCAAATTGTTTACATAACAATAAATATTTTGGAATAATGCTTCTGAATCCTAATTAGTTTTATAAGATTGACTTTCTTAGCTAATGTTATCCCATTGATGAGCTGTTTGCCAACAAGTTAGTACATATTTGTTCACATTAATGAGGTTTTTTGTTGTATTGCATCATTACACAAACACCATTTTATAGGCCCCTATTCTGTTTTTGGAAGATACGAGGACAAACAGTTTGTATCTATTATTGTTATGTTCATAGTAGATCATATAAAATAATTTCAATACATTATTTTGTTTATTATTCGATTTAATGTATTCCCAAAACAAAAATTTTGCCGATATTACTGTGTTTACTTTGATTTTACTCTGTTTTATGGTTATCGTTGATGAAGACAAAATCAATCACCTAAGTAACATTTATAGGGTGTTGTTCGTACATCCTTGTTTACCGTTTTATAGAGAGATATACATTGATATATACATTAACAAGCGTGCTATAATGATAACGATTACTATTATCCGCGCCATGAGAGACTTGAAATGTATTTTAACATTATATAACTTATATACATAATAATAATAATAGAAATAACATTAATAATAAATAATTATAATAATAATATTGATGCTAATAATAATAATGTTTATAATAATTGTATTAATAGTAATAATAATAATAATAATAATAATAATAATAATAATAATAATAATTGTAATAATAATAACAATAATAATAATAATATTAATTAATATTAAATAAATAACGCCCTACACAACTAGTAGGTCTTCTTAACTACCACATTTCGTAAAGGTATTTTGTTTTATAAGCTACAAAAATATGGACTATACGTTCGTGACGTAGCATTCAAATTATCTCTACATACAATATGTACAAGGATTATACACAATAAACGTGTTGCATTTTTATTAATTCCAATCGATGTTGAATCTATGAATAATTCATGTCTCCTTC